TATGTCGTTATTTGGCATCATTCGTGAGGCACCACAATCCTGAAGCCAAATTTTCTGCTCTTCAGATCTCGTGCAATGCTCCGGTGTCATTGCATAGGGATAGTCACAATGAAAAACATTGCTGCAATTATGTGTGTGGCTTTGGTGACTATAAAGATGGTCAGCTGTGGGTTGAGGATGAAAAGGTTTTAGAGGAAGGAGCTGAAGTGGTGGAGCAATCCTATGGGAAGAAAGTCCTACCTGGAAAATTGGTGGATATCCACTGGAACTTCATGTCGTTCTTTCCGAGAAAGCTGCATGGTCCTATGCCTTGGAAAGGGAACAGGGTATCCTTGACAGGGTACACACCTGTTTTATGGAGCGTTTGAGCTACAAGGATAGGTGCTATCTTCTCCAATGCAAGTTTCCTCTTCCGGAACCACAAGCTGAAGAAGGTGAAAAAAGGAAGTGGTTAAAAAATGAAAGAGACCTCGCTGGACGACCTTGCAGAGGAAGTCGACTACGCTGTGTTCGAAGCGCATCAATGGGCTCTAGAGGAGCATTTGAGTATTCGACGCCTAATTGCTGAACAGGAATGTTGCATTTTGGACGAGTTCCATGGATCGGCCAATGAGTCGAATGAGGAAAAAGGATCAGAGACTAGAGAATGGCTGGTTAAAGCAAAAAGGGCTGAGGAACAGCTCTCGAAGTTTTTGGTCAAAGCAGCTCAAGTTCAGCAAATGGTGCAAGAAAATACCGCGCTTGAGGCAGCAGAGGAGGTTGAGTTCCTGCAAACAAAAACAATTCCTACACAAGAAGCCATGCAAGAGCTGGAAAAGTGGAGGGAATCATTGTCGGACGAGGTGACGTCTTTGGTGAAAGAGTTGGAGGTGGTGGAACCAACAACTCAAGAAAAGCTGGACAAATTGGCGGAAGAGCCTAATGCACCGGTGATTGAGTACGTTCCCAGTCTGGTGGTGTTTACCCGGAAGCAAGGGACAGGGAGGCGACGTGCCCGTATCTGTGCATGTGGAAACTTCATTTCGTCAACGGCAGCTACGGAATATGAAGGGCCGAGGTCCCTCAGTCGTCACTCGCTGTACGCTCCAGGTTTAGATTCAACTACATTCAGGTGTCAAGTGAGGCACGCAGCATATATGGTGTGGATCATCGCTGGCTTAGACATTTCCAAAGCTTTTCTGACGGCGCCGATGAATAGGGCGCAAAGAGAAGGGCGTCTGGTGGTGGTGCAGCCCCCAAGGGCGGCGGTGAAATTGGGTCTTTGCACAAAGGAGGAGCGGTGGATTGTGAGAAAGGCCTTGTACGGTTTGGCCGAAAGTCCTGCAGCATGGGTGGAGTGGCGAGACCAACGTCTTCAAGGTATGTCTTGGGTGTCAAAGGATGGACAAGCAATGAGCTTTCAGAGGTCCAATGCAGACCCAAGTCTGTTCCTTATTATGGCACAAGAGAAGCCGGAAGGTGCAAGCAAGTTGGTAGGGACAATGGGTCTTTACGTGGATGATTTTTTGATGGCTGGGACTATGACAGTGCTCCGGGAGGCCTTGGAACAGATTAGGAAGGAGTGGAAAACTTCTGAACCCGAGTTCTGTGGTCCAGGCTGTGGTGATGGATTCCTGAAGTTTTTGGGTGTCCAAATCTGGTATCGAAATGGCAGCTTCTTTCTCAACCAGGAGGACTTTGTGAGAGATTTGCTGAACCGACGAGGGTATCAGATCGATGAAACTGGAAAAGGGAGTAACCTGCCAATGGTGAAAGAAACTCCAGGTGAAGAAGAGGAGGTGGATATTCCTTCCTTGCGAGCGGCTCAAGGTGCCGTAGGGGAGTTCCTCTGGGTGGCAATCAAAACTCGACCTGATTTGGCGTTCTGCACGAGCCAGTTGTCTTTGTGGACATCCCGAAGGCCGCGATTTGTGGTTAAAAAGGCTGAGGAAGTTTTCCGATACCTTGCTGCAACTCCAACGTTAGGCTTGACGTTCGGAGCAATCGCAACATGCGAAAAAGAAAGGAATGAGGTGTTGCGTTATGGACGAGGTGTTAAGGTGGTGGAGTCCTACGCGGATGCCAGCTTTGCAGCAGGTGAAAATGAAAAGAGCCACTCAGGAGCGGTGGTGGTGTGGGGTGACTGTCCAGTGATGTGGGCAACACAAAGACAATCAACGGTGGCTTTAAGTACAGCTGAAGCTGAATTACATGCGTCCATAGAGGGAGCAACGATGATTCAGTCGTGCACCCCTATAATTGCCGCTTTGGTTGGAACAGGTGAAGAATCGCTGCAAAAGTGCTGTATACAGATTCGGTTTCAACGTGCTCGATCATTCAATATCCTGCTGGAAGCTGGAGGACAAGACACCTGAGAATTCGAGCAGCCGGTGTCAGGTCTCTGGTGGACCGTGGTTATATGGTGATAGCGCATCTTCGTGGTGAGTATATGATCGCTGACCTGTTGACCAAATTGATGAGTGGACAGGTGTATGCAAAGCAAAAGGCACTTTGGGGTCTCCGACTGTTGGTTCAAGGAACTGACTTGAAAAAAGCCTCGCTTGCAATGGCGGTCATGATGGTGGCTGCATCTCTGCAAGGGATGGCAATCGGTGGAGAAGAAGTGTCAACTGCTGGTTTCTTTTGCTCAGAAGAAGGGGTGTGCAAGGTTGCCAACACATCTACGGTTATGGTTCTGGCTCAAGGTATTGAAATGCTCGTCAACAATTCAGACCTTGTTGCATATTTGGTGGCAGCAATTATACTCTGGGAGTTGGCATGGTGCCTCTTTCGACGGCTGTATAAATGGCTGTGGATCAAGAAAGCGGTGGTTATTCCTGCGAGTGCCACTTTGTATACAACAGTGGGTGGGAACTGTATGCACGCAAGCAGTGACTGTGATGTTCTGCGATATTCACAGCCCAGGGCTAAGACGCTTTGTAAGCATTGCCTCAAGGATGGCTGGGTGGTGAATGCTGAGTTCCTTGGTGAGGAACGGGCCGCTGGAACGTGAATTTTCCAAGTGCGAGGTGAAGAAATCCTCAATGGTAAAGGATTCAGCCAATGAGCTGAAGGTTCGTCCTGGATGACGTTAAACCATAATGTGCATTTCAAGCAGCTGGCTGCTGCCTAGATGGCGGTTTTTGGCCAAAGATCTGCACCTCCAATGTGTCCTAGGAAATCCTAGGACAGGGGGAGTGCGGAGCTGCAGTTGGTATTGTAGAAAGGAGTTGGTATTGGAAGTTGAAGGGTCAATGCACCCGGTAATCTCATGGCTCAAGGCTCAAGCCATGACCAAAGCGGTCGAAGGTTTTGTAAAAAGTGTGCCCTTGGTTTGGGGTCTTGCTGTTTGGTTGTTGGTTGTTCCAGGGGAATTAAGGGCTTCTGTTGGGGTTGACTGTTTTGTTCCCTGTCCTCCTTCGGTTGCCCCCCGTATAGGGTTTAGGGTTTAGGGTTTAGGGTTTAGGGTTTAGGGTTTAGGGTTTCGGGTTTCGGATTCAGGGTTTATGGGGTCTAGGGTTTAGGGTTGAGGGTTTAGGGTTGAGGGTTTAGGGTTTCGGATTCAGGGTTTATGGGGTTGGAGGGTTCAGGGTTTATGGCTGAGGATGTAGGGTTTAGGGTTCAGGGTTTATGGGGTTTGAGGATTTGGGGGGTTTCAGGGTTTAGGGGCTCAGGGTTTGGGGTTTAGAGTTTTTGGTGCTTGGTTGATAGGGTTTTGGGCTTTGGGTGTGAAGTTTTTAGGGTTTGAACGCTTAAGCGTGGTAGGGTTTGGTTCGGATTCATCTTTGAGAGTGTTGTCAGCCCTAAACGCTTTGCCCTAAGACCTGAACCCTACACCCTAAAGCCTGAAATCAAGGTTCGACCCTCCACTCTTGGGCTCTTAGGTTTGCTTCAAGGTTTAGACTTTTTTAAATATCGGGTTTAGGGTTTGGGTTTCGGGAGCTCTACTCTGCTCCTTGAACCCGCAGAGGCTTGACCCGCCTCGCTGCGCTGTCTGAGGGAGCGTTGCTAGGTCTGCACGTTGTTTTTTTTGTTGTTCTGTAGGGTGTCGCCTGTGGCACTGTGTCTAATTCGCGGACTTCCCGCGGGCTCAGGCAGTGTGATGCATGCTTGTCTAGCATATCAGGGCCATGTCTATGAATGCTGCAGCCCTCAGGCCCAGCGCCTGTAATAACCCCCAACCCATAAGCCCCACTCCCTTGACACCAGACCCAGACCTAGCGTACTCGCACGTCAAGTCACGAACGCTTTCAAGCGGAGTTCCGCATCGCCTTCCCAGCCTCATGGCATTCGGAATTCTCGTGGCGGTCAGTGAATTGAAAAGGCTAAGATGGCCCAGGCTTCTCCAACGTGGTCAATTCTCGAAATCATGGCACCTTCTTTTAGGGATCAAGGCACTCCTAAACGATGCACAATTCGGGTAGCGCCCCATGGCCTCGGAGACCCAGATCCGATGGACCAACCCGGAGCTCTCCGGAAGCCTCCAGCCAAAAACCAAAGCACCTTTGACCCCCAAATCCTAAACCTCCACGCCAAACCCTAAACCATCAGCCCTCCACCCTCCAAAAGACCTAAACCCTAAACCCCCTAAACCTCAAACCCCAAATCTTTTGTTTCTCGGCTCCAGTAGTTGCCCCCTTCTTGGAGTGCGCGCCTCCGCGCATCTCGACGGTGCGCCAAGGACTCCTGCCCTACACCCCACGAGCTCCTGTAAAGAAGACAAGGGTCCCCTTGTACAAACATCATCATCTTCGAAGTCACGATGTCCGATAAACGGGTTTAGGGGGTTTTGTGCGGTTTCTGGTGTGCTGGCTTGGGCCTTTAGGGTTTAGGGTTTAGGGGGGTTGTTGTAAGTTTGTGGACCTCAAGCAAAGCAAAGAATTCGCCTGTTCGAACTCTGGGCGCTAGCCGACTCTTTCCCCCCCATGGTTTGCAAGCCCCTAACAAGCCCCTAAACCACGGAACCTAAACCCTGAAGCCTGAACCCTAAACCCTAAACCCTAAACCCTGAAAGCGCAGGTATGGACAGTGAGAACTTCGGCTTCGTGGTCGAGTGGTATGACTCGCAGGCTCGGGGTTTCGGATCAAAGGTGTGGAGCCCCCAATCCTCAAGCCTCAAACCAGGCCCTACAGGGTTTGAACGGCTTAAGGGAATATAGGGTCCCTGAACCCTAAACCGTTTAGGACTGTAAGGTTTAAGACAGACCCACAATGACCTGTGAATCGTCCCGTGTTTCGGGAGGTTCTTTGCGCAAAGGGGGGGGTTCCCTGGGGTGAGGCGGATCTCATGCGCGAGTGCGGCTCTCAGGCTTGCTCCATGGGTTCTTGCAGCCGGCACCTTCGTGCGTGCCATGCTTTACGAAAGGTTTATGGTTCAGGGGTGAGGGGCCAGGGAATTGTACAGGCTTCGAGGAATTTCTGCCTTTAGGCTTGAGGGTAAGCAGTTGTAGCCGCAGCGACATGGAGACAGCTGCAGGGCTGCCTTTTGGGCACCTCTGCCCCGCTGTCCGAAGTCGAAGCCTGGACGTCCCCAAACCTGGAACTTTTGAACCCCCGGCCCTGAGCCTGCCCTCAACTCCTAAACCCTAAGCCCGAGCTGTTGCGCAAGCTGAATCCCTATGCCCTGAGTCCTGAGCTCCTAAGGTATCAGCTCACTGTCTTCAAGCCACACAAAGGGCCCCTGGAGGTTGCCATGTACGCCCCAGCCCCAAGGGCATTGTGGTCAACAAGTTGGTTTCGGATTCGGTGTGCGGGTGGTTAGGCTTAGGGTATTCGGCGGGCGTGGCGTGTTCTACTCGGATTCTGTGTTGAAAGTCGGTAGGCTACCAACCAGAGAGGCTGCTGGACAACGTGTGCTAGGACCAGAAAGAGTCACAGCCACTGAAGTGCAAGCAAACGGCAGCCAAGTGGACGCTCTTGTCAATGTGGACGCGCGGGTGGTATGGATGTCATAATCGTTCGGGCATGGATGCTCGGGCCAAAGGGATGCATTGGTAGGCCCCCAGCCCCGATAGCCGTAGATGAAACCCAAAGCCCTAAACCCTAAACCCTAAATCCTAAACCGTAAACCCTAAACCCTCAACCCTAGACCCTAGACCCTAAACCCTAACCTACGGAAACAGCACAAAGCCTGGGGAATGGGTTGAGTTTCAAGTTTTAGGTTTTCAGCTCTTAGGCTTTGGGCCGGCCGACGCCTCTTTCCCTAGCAGAACCCCCATGCGCCATTTCAACTTCACTCCCGGTAGCCCTACCCCAAGAATCCCAAAGTGCTGAGCGCACTAACCCTTATAAGGTTTGGGTTCAGGGTTCCGGGTTTAGGGCTTAGTATAAGCCCTGAGCCCGAACTCGTCCGAGGACCCGAAAGCCCACAGAAGCTTCCTGAAGCGCGCTGGAATCTCAGGATGGCATCAGGATGGGGGATTTGGGCTTAAGGGCTTAAGGGTTTAAGGGTTCAGGGCGTGAACCCTACCCTAGGCCCCTAAACAGCCCCATGCCCGACACCCTAAACCCTAAACCCTGAACCTCGAAGTCTGAACCTCCCCCGAACTCTAAGCCCTAAACCCTAAACCCTCAACCCTCAAACCCTAAACCCTAAACCCTAAACCCTCCAACCCCTTGAGCGCTCTGCAGATGCCGATCCCAGACTTGAAGATCGAGGATCTGACGGTCGGCTCCTTACGGGATTTAGGGTTTCGGGTCTCTTTTTTTTGGGTTTTGTTCTTATTTTTTAGGGTTTCAGGCCTCTTATTTTTTTTGGGTTTTGTGTCTATTTTTTAGGGTTTCAGGCTCAGGTCTCCTTTTTTTTTTTGGGGGGGGGGGGGGGTTTTGTGTCTATTTTTTAATTTTAGGGTTTCGGGTATCTTTTGTTTGGGTTTTGTGTCTAGTTTTTTCAGTGGGGCTTTGGCTGTTGGCCTTTAGGGTTTTATTTTTTTTTGTTTTTGTTTGGGGGGGTTTTGGGGGATTTAGGTTTTTGCGGTTTTGGGGGGTTTTGGGGGTTTTGGGGGTTTTGGGGGTTTTGGGGTTTTGGGGTTTTGGGGTTTTGGGGTCTGGGGGTGTCGGATCTGAAGCAACGAATTGGGGTGCTGGGTTCAGGTATTCAGCGTTTGGAGTGGGGCCAGGAGATAAGGTTTGGAAGCAATCTATGGAAACCCTAAAAACCCCAAACCCCTCAACCCGCAACCGTCAAAGCCCCAAAAGCCCCAAAAGCCCCAAGACACCCTGCAGGTCGGCAGCACTGTCACCGTTTACGCCCGACACCTGAAGGCCGTGAACGGAGGGGCAGTTGGGGCTTGCCTGTGAGCCGTTGACGAAGCTCGAAACCGGAAAGCCCTGAACCTGGACCTTAAACCCGAAAGCCTAAACCCTAAACCCTGAACCTTGAACTCTTGGTGCCCCTCAGCAGGTGAAGGCCTACGCGGATGCCCACACGTGCGGGGCCCAAGCCGCACTTTCCTCTTTGGGTTCCGTCTTGGGGCAGTTACATTGGACCCCTAGTATGGGCCCTTAATTTTGGAACCCAAGCCCTTATGTGACCTCGATATGCCCTTTACAAACAAAGGGCCCATACTTCGAAGCGTTCGAAAAGGGACCACTATAGGAGCCGCCGACAGGCGGGACGGTTTGCAGCTCCTCCAAGCGATGGGGGGGGGTCCCACAGAGCGGGGGCGGGGGGGAGGGGGTGGGTGCGTCACAAAATTTGGCATGGGGGGAAGGGTTGGGTTAGGGGGAAGGAGACCGGATCCGGGCGAATTACCCTTAGATTCAGGGTTCAAGGAGTTTAGGGTTGAGGGCTCAACGGCATGAGTTTTTTGGTGTTTTCACACTTGTAAAGTTAAGGTTTTTAGGGCATTGCGAGTGAGGGCTTGTTCTGCTTCGGGGTTTAGAGTTTTGGTGTTTGTGTATCCATCCAACGAATCCCTAATCTCAAGCCCGCCTCACTGACATCACACGTTCAGCGTTGCAGAATGACGAACTTTGCCGCGTTTTTGCTCTAAGCGTAACCCTCTAAGCTCCAATCCCAAACATCCCGAGATCCAGAATATCCCCATCACCACATCCAAACATCCCTAAACCCAGCTCTCAACAAAAATCCGGAACAACCCTCAACTGTTCTAAACACTAAACCCCCTAAATCCCTAAACCGACCTCATGCCCTGTATATACTTCCCCAAATCCCAAAGTGCCAGGCGGAGCGCGTTGGAGTCCAAGCGGACGTCGCGAGGGTTCCCAGCATGTTCCAGCAGCTTGCAATGGACACCCCCTTGGGCACAGAAACCCATTCCTTTAAACCTTCGAAACCCTAACCCCCAAGCGCTAAGACCCTCAACTTTTTTAGGTTCCAACCCCTAAGCCCTATAAGGCCCGTAACTCTAAACATTACAAGCTCCTAAGCCCCACGCATGAAGTTGACGCCCCACAGCAAGTTCGACTGTAGCTACTTGTTTTATCGCAGGGTTCGCAGAGCCCAGATGTAGAACTACCTAAACCCTAAAAAACCATAAACCCTAAACCCTAAACCCTAAGCCCTAAACCCTAAACCCCAAACCCTAAACCCTAAACCCTAAACCCAAAACTCCAACCCCTTTTAAAGCCTAGACCTAAGCCCTAAGCACTACAGCTCCGGAAGCCTTGAAGATGGCCTTCTTAGGCTCGCCATGCTGCTGCAGCCTCCCGCGTTCCCGCGGCTGCGCGCTGAGTCGGGAGTGAGGGGTCAGGGTTTAGGGTTTAGGGTTTAGGGTTTAGGGTTTAGGGTTTAGGGTTTAGGGTTTAGGGTTTAGGGTTTAGGGTTTAGGGTTTAGGGTTTAGGGTTTAGGGTTTAGGGTTTAGGGTTGAGCAGGGTTCTAATATAGGGGGTCGGCATAATTGCTACTGGATTTTCGTATGGTCCCTTTTGAAATTATCAATATACAACAAAAAACCCCAAAAACCCTGTTCTGATGATTAAGGCCCCTGTCTTAAGCGCCCTAACCCTCCAAGCTTCTCCTTTCCTGGAGGTTTTAGGGTCTCGTGGCGTCTGGTGTGCCCGCAAGATTCGTTGCCGCATCCTAAACCCCCAAACCCTAAGCCTTCAACCCTAAATCCTAAACCTAAGGAAGCAGCTCCAGACCTAGTCGCCGAAAATGATCCCAGATCCCAGAGACCCTCAAGAGCATGCAGGGTGAAGGTTTCAGCATTTGCGGGTTTTGGGGGAGATTAAGCCTCCAAAAACCCTCCAACCCTAAGGTCCCTAAAGCCCTCAACAACGCCAAAACACCCTCGAGCACCAGCAAGAAAAGGGCTCAATGTTGAACCCCCTGCCTGCTTGTCTTGAACCCTGAACACCAGCCCTAAACCCTAAACCACAGCTTTTTTTCGCGTGGACTCCATGGCTCAGGAGCTTCGTGTCATGCCCTGCACGAGCCAAACGCCTCAGAACCAGGAAACTCCTCGAACCTCGTAGCCCCGAGGCTAAGGGAAGCCTCGACCGATCCCCCAAACTTTGAAACCCCCCACCCCCCGACACCCCAAAACCCCCAACCCCCCACACCCCAAAACTCCCCCAACCCCTCGAAACCGAAACACTAAATCAGACCCTAAACTTGGGATGTCCTCCCTTATACTAACAGTCCTTAATAGGGATTACCAAACCGGGGTACTAGAATCCCCATTGAGGACTGTTAGTGCAAGGGGGAACGTCCCGACCCTAAACCTCCAATCCTGCAAGCCTGTCAGAGCCAAGCGGAGGTTGGGCCAGATCATGAGCTCCATCGAGTCAGGTGGCCTCAAGATCAAGAAGTTCCGCAGGGGGCCTCGCCTTTCGTTGGTACAGGCGTTCGGAAAGGTTAGGGTTTAGGGTTCTAAACCCCAAATCCTTAAACGCCGAACCCCTGAACAGCCCAAAATCCCACAAAGCCCAGGGTTTAGGGTTTAAGGGTACAGATGTCGGGCTCGGTTGCCGAGGCCTCGTCAACGACGGCGGTCCGGTAGTTGCGCTCGAGGCGAAGCTTCGGCTTTTGCCCGAAGAAGCCCCCCCCCCAGGGTTTAGGGTTTAGGGTTTAGGGTTTAGGGTTTAGGGTTTGGGGAGCCGCCCCTGAACCCTAAATCCCAAATCCTCCAAACCCTTTAGCTCCCTTACTCGAATCCCCTGAGCTCTGAGCTAAACCCTAAACCCCAAAACGCAAACCCCGGAAACCCCCAAACCCTAGATATTCTTAGGTGTAAGGGTTTAGGCTTAGGGGGGTAGATTTGGTTTGGGTCTTGGGGCGCCAAGACGCCACCCTCAGCCCTCAACCCTCAACCACCTCTTCTCTATCCCCCTAAACCCTAAACCCTAAACCCTAAACCCTAAACCCTAAACCCTAAACCCTAAACCCCTAAACCCTTCCGCCGGCAGGTGATGGGCGACGATGCAGACCTCCTTTGGAGCCAGTCCTGCGGCAACCTGCCCAAAGCTTCCTTCAAACAGGTGGGAGGGGGTTTTGGGGTTAGGGCTGAGGTTCTAGGGTTTAGGGCTTAGGGCTTAGGGCTTAGGCTTTAGGGTTTAGGGGGGTGTAGGGGTTTAGGGGTTTAGGGGGTAACCCCCCTTAACCCCCCTAAACTTCCTCTACCCCGCAAAGCTCGAAACCCAAAACTCCCAGACCCCCGATGGCTTGGACAGTTTGTTTCGGGTTTCGAGGGTTTAGGGTTCGAGGGTTTAGGGTTTAGGCTTTACGGTTTAGGGTGCAAGGATTTTTGGGCTCTTAGGCTTTGTTGTTTTTGGGGTTCTGGAATTTCTTGGGGATTATAGGGTTATCGGGAATTTGATTTTTGGATTTTCAGGGTTTTCGGTTTTAAGGATGAGCTTCTTTGAGACCCAACAAGTACTTTGGCTCCTAATCTCCGACTTCCCAACGGAAATACAGTACAAACCCTGAAGTCCCAACCATGGAAAGCCCAACCTTGCACCCGGTAATGCTACAACCCTGCAAGACTCTATGTGTACATATATACATATATACACATATATATATATATATATATCTCCCTCTCTCCCGCTCTCGCTCTCGCTCTCGCTCTCTCTCTATCTCTCTCTCTCTCTCTCTCTCTCTCTCTCTCTTTCACCCCATGTGTGCTATATAACCCCAAAACGTGCTGACTGAGATTCACCTGTGTGGCGCGAGGTGTCGCGGGGCGAAATTGAGCCTTACTTCACCAACAAGGATGGGGCGGGGCTGTAAGGGTTCGAGGGGGGAGTGATTAATATAGGGGTTGGATTGACTACTAGTATTGTTCCTTTATGGCGCCTTTATAATTTATTATACGTATACTATAAAAAGCCCCCCAAGGCCCCTATATTATGGGTCTTGCTGTAGGTTCCACTCCCCTTTTCAGTAGGGAAGGGAGGTAGGGACTCGGGGTTCCTCGCAGGAACTGCATAGGGTACCCAGTTCCTTAACCCGCTACAAGAACAGGGTATAGGGTTTACTACTCCCCCCCCCCTAGGTCGCCTCCCTTAAGTAACCACTAGTAGCCTTAATTGTCCCCTAAATCGCCTTAAGTATGGGGGAACCTAGGGGGGTAGTATAGAGGGGGTGGGTACCCTGTGTTTAGGGTTTAGGGCTTAAGGTTTAAGGAAGCCCAAAGGCGCGACCTCTGCCAGGAGCGCTTCCCGTGCACTGCAGCCTTCGACCACTGCACGCTCTGCATAATTAGGCTCCCCTTGGGTTGGGCGGCGGCTTTTGGGGTTTAGAGCTCAGTAGAGTCCGGAGTTCAGACACCACGTTTTCGCAATTCTGGGCTGGGCTGAGACTTGCCTGAAGGCAATTTTGGAGCCAGTTCCGAGATCGATCCAAGACCCTAAACTAAACCATAAACCCCTAGCCTTCTCTTCTTTCTGACTGGTTCTTAGTAGGGAATGAGGGAATGTAGGGCCCCAATTCCCTCATTCCCTACCAAGAACCAGGGGGTTTTTGTCGCAGGCAAGGCAGGCTCAGCCACTGCCGTCAACAAAAGCCGCAGCTTCTCTTCAGGTTTCAAGCAGCAGGGGAAAACAAGAAGACGATCAATCAACAGCAAGCCCTGAATCTGCAAAACCCCCAACCCAAGGAAAACCTTTGAATTGAAGCTTGCAAAAAAGACGCCCCTAAGCACTTGACTCGCCAACCTTGAAACCCTCTACCTTGAAGCTCTTGACCTTCTCTTGAAGTCTTGACCTCAACGCCACAAACCTCAGCCGTGAACCTCTCCCCAATGCCCTTTAACCCCAAACCCTCTACACCCGAAACCCTAGGCCCCAAACCCCTACCCCTGCAACCTAAACCCAAGCCCCCTGACACACCCCTGAACTAAAAGACACACAAAAGCTCCCGCCCCTTGCACTGCTAGGCCGCATGCCCTCAAGGTGGGGTCGGGATACAGGGGCTCAGGGTTTCAGGGATTTGTTTCAGGCGTTGAGGGCTTTCAGGGTTTAGGGTTTAGGGTTTTGGGGTTTCAGGTTTCAGGGGTTTACGCTTCACGGTTTTTAGGGGTTTGAAGGTTCCAGGTTGTCTCGAAGCCCCACCCAAGCCTCGAGCTCCCCCAGATCCACCCCATGAAGCGCCCCACCCCCGCACCCCCTCAACACTTCAGAACTGCGCTACAACCCTGAAGCCCTAAGCCCTAAAACCCGAAGCCCGCTGAAGCCCTAAACCCTAAACCCTAAACCCTAAACCCTAAACCCTAAACCCTAAACCCTAAACCCTAAACCCTAAACCCTAAACCCTAAACCCTAAACCCTAAACCCTAAACCCTAAACCCTAAACCCTAAACCCTAAACCCTAAACCCTTTTCCTGTAGGCGGGCAAAGCCGGTGAGATCATCGCAGCAATTCAGAATGCTGGCTTGGAAATCTCCGCTGCGTCGGGTGCCCAAGAGATTCGAAGCCAGGACCCCATCTAGGGTTTAGGGTTTAGGGTTTAGGGTTTGGGGTTTAGGGAAAAACCCCCAAGCCCAAAACCCTAAGCACCATATTCCCGAAACACTTAAGCCCTAGATGTGGAGGCTCAGGGTTCAGGAGGTTTAGCGTTGGTGGCTTATTTCGGGTAGTTTGGGCTGGCACAGGGTTTACGCGTAAGGTCCGCTGGACCCCCTTGCCTTCCTGAGGGTTTCAGCAAGACCGGCTATTGCAGACCCCTTGAACACAGCACCCAAACCCTAAACCCTAAACCCTAAACCCTAAACCCTAAACCCTAAACCCTAAACCCTAAACCCTAAACCCTAAACCCTAAACCCTAAACCCGAAACCCGAAACCCTAAACCCTAAACCCTAAACCCTAAACCCTAGACCCTAAACCCTACACCCCAAACCCTATAAACCCTAAACCCTAAGCCCCAACCCCCCGAAGTCCCTTAAGAACCGAAGCCGTGGCCCCTAAACCCGGAACCCTGAGGGAGATGCTCCACCTCCAGCACGCAGAAGCCGCTGAGCTGCTGGATGTCTACAAGGGGGCCCCCCCGGCTTGGTTGGCATTGTGACGTTTTTTTGTTAGTAAGAACATGTTTTGCGTGCAAAATAGATGTATGTATGCAACAATGTATGTAGTACTGTAAAGTAGTGTAATGTAGTGTAATGTCATGTCATGTCATGTCATGTAATGTAAGGCAATGTAATGTGGTGTAGTTCTCTCTCTCTATATATATACACACATAGAAAATCAGATTATGCATATATCTGTATGCGTATATCTACACATACTTCTTCAGCTTGCGGGCGGGGATGGAGTGTGGGGTTAGGGATGAGGGGCATTAATTAGGTACTTAGGGTCGAGGGGCAGGGGTTTAGCGTTGAGGGGCGTAGGGCTTAGGGTTTAGCATTTGGCTTCAGAGCAGCGCCCAAGCGTTTGAGGTTTTAGGTTCAGGGGCTGTGGGGTTGCGGTCGCTACTCCCCAAAGTCCGATGCACCTGCAAGTCTTAAACCCCAGCAGCAAACAACGAGTGGTGTACCGTTCCTCAAGCAAACCTGAAATGAAACCCAAACTTAAACCCCATGAGCCCCGGCGATCCCCAGACACAACCCGAAGCTCTCATATGGGTCGATGGGTCTGTCGTCGGTTTAGATGTCTCTGGGTTGAGGGCATGAAGCTTCCCGAACATGGTTTGCTGTTGAGGAGCGTGACAGGGATACGTAGTATTGAGTACGGCCTCCCTGATGCTATGGAGAACAATTTGTTATTCCCCACCCTCTGCGTAGGGTTGTTAGACTTTCAGCAACACTCCCTGGAGTGCCCAACCCCAGAGTATCCCCAGACTGGCAGTGCCCGGCAGTGCCCAACCCCAGAGGATCCCCAAAAAATCACTGGAGTGCCCAGCCCCAAGGGTTTAGGGTTTAGGGTTTAGGGTTTAGGGTTTAGGGTTTAGGGACTCAAGAGCCCCAGAGAAACACCGGAGTGAGCCCTTCAAATTCCTTGCCTGCAGGGTGGGGATGTTCGAAGTAAGATGGTTCCCCTGTTCTTATTCTTGCTGTGCCTGTGGTTGCTACTTACCGCGGTTACTTGTCACGGCCTGTAGAGTTTAGGGCCCAGGGCTTAGGGAACCAAGAACCTTACACTCAAGGTGGTGCCCTACCACAAAGAGATGGTGGATGGGATGAGTATTGCGCCGATGCTGGCGCTGGCCGATGCCTCAGGGTGCTCCTTCGGACCCTTAGCAACCCTAAACTTCGACTCGGTTTAGGGTTTAGGGTTTAGGGTTTTGGGCTTAGGGTTTAGGGTCTAGGGTTCAGGGTGCTAAACCACCCTCTCCCCCCTCTCAAAGCCGCGGCGTCTTTTACGGTCAGGGTTCAGCATCGCTTGTGGGCTTTGGAGTTGGAGTGCTTAAGGCTTGGTTGAGGGTTGAGGGGTCGGGTTTGCTCGAAACTCTACTCCATTCCAGAAACCTTCCCAAACCTTTGTTGTGGACTGAGTTTTGGGGAGTTTGGACCTAGGGGGGCTCAGGGTTAGGGGTTGGGTGTTGAGCTGTGGGTGTTGTTGGGGGGTCTGGGATTCGGTCTTGTTTGGTGTTTCTTGCGCCTACGGGGAGTTTTCGTCTGGCAGATGCCGGCCGGGCGTTGGACTTCGATGTCCCAGACTGCCAGACATCCGAAGCACTCCTACCTTAAAAGGCCTCCAAAGACCAATCCCGTCAAGGTCTTGCAATGTGGAGCTCCAAAAAGACTCCTAAACCCCACCCCCACGAACCCCCCCTCAGGAGAAAGGCCTAGACGTTGATTTTGTAGGTTTAGGGTTCTGGGGCTTTAGCACCCTAAACCTTGATTCGTAGATTTGGGCGTTCAGTGTTCCAGGGTCTTTCCCGGAGGTGGAAGAGTCCCCTACTGGGTTGCTGCTCTGGAGACAGAGACGTCAAGCCCTAGAAGCCCCAAAGGCCCCACATCCTAGCACCACATGGCTTACTGTACATCCATACTCTTGCTGGCTTAAGCTTCTGGCTCCTTAGCAACGCCAACCCAAGCCCGAAGTCCCCCCCCCACCCGCCCACGGCCGTGAGGAAGTGCGCGCAGAGGATGCTGCCGTGGTTGGCACCTCAGTTGCTGGGAAAAGCCCTGAAATACTGAAGCCCTAAGCCAGAGACCCCAAACCGTTTAAACCCTCAACCCTCAACCCTCAACCCTCAACCCTCAACCCTCAACCCTCAACCCCAAACTCCGAGCCCTAAACCCTAAACCCCAAACTCTAACCCCCAAACCCAAGCCCAAATCCCAAACCAAAGCCCGCCCTAGGAGAAGCTGAGAGAGCTTTGTGGGCCGTATGATGTGGACATGGCCTGCCTGGCTCGGCTTTGCTTAGGGCTTAGGGGAACAGACCCTGATCCCTCTACCCGAAACCGAAATAGCCCTAAACCCTAAACCCTACACCCTCAACCCTGAACCCTAAACCCTAAACCCTAAATTTCCTTTTACATGTTAGGTTCAGGGTGGAGGAAAGCACTCTGCGATGCTCTCAGGGTTTTCTGGTAAAGTGCTTCGCGTGTTTCAGGAGGTTTTAAAGGGCTTAGTTTCGATTTCGAAGACTTTCCGCGAAACCGAGAGGCAGAACGTATTTAATAAGATTTTGGGTTTAAGGATGTTGCGTCGTTTGGACTCCCCAACCCTAAACCCTAAACCCTAAGCCCTAAGCCCTAAACCCAAAACCCTAAACCCTAAACCCTAAACCCTAAACCCTCAACCCTAAACCCGAGACCCTAAAAAAACCCCAAACCAAAAAGTCGACAGCCAGGCCCGCCATCTGCGGCCGCAATCGCTGCGTGCCCGCTTCGGCGTGGATAACGCGAACAACGGTCCGGCCCTTGGGATCTGGGGAGGCGTTGGGAGTTGCTGTTGAGGAACTCAAAATTGGGGGTTTACGGTTTCATGAGGGGTTCAGCCTTTAGGGTTTAGGGGTTATGGGTGTTTAGGGTTGAGGGTTTCGGATTCAGGGTTTTGGGAGTGAAGTGAGATATACCTTGTCATGGTAACTCGTCGTAAGTTCCGCAACCAGCCCTGGCATTTGAGTGGCGTGGGAGGTTTAGGGTGCAAGTTCGGGTTTCGCACGGTTGGGTGGTGGGGGCTGGGGGCTGGGGGGGGGGGAGGGAGGTAGGCCCTAAACCCCAAACCCCAAACCCCAAACCCTAAACCCTAAACCCTAAACCCTAAACCCTAAACCCTAAACCCTAAACCCTAAACCCTAAACCCTAAACCCTAAACCCTAAACCC